CCCCGGGTGGCGCCGCCCCCAGCCCCATCTACCCCGCCCCCGGCAAGAAGCGGGGCGGGCTGTGGTGGACCTACCTGCTCAGCCTCATCTTCAAGGCCGGCGTGGACGTGGTCTTCCTGTACATCTTCTACCGCTTCTACAGGACCTACACCCCGCCCCGGGCAGTGAAGTGCGAGCTGACCCCCTGCCCCAACGTGGTGGACTGCTTCATCTCCCGGCCCACCGAGAAGACCATCTTCACCCTCTTCATGGTGGTCACTGCCTGCGTCTGCGTCGTGCTGAGCCTTGTCGAGGCTGCCTACCTGATCGGCAAGCGGTGCCGCGAGTACCTCCTGGCCAGCAGCGCAGCGAGCCGCCGGCACAGCCAGGACTGCACGCTCCCCCACGCTGAGCCCACCGGCATGGGGGGGCAGGTTTTCCACGGGGTGGACTACAAACCCCCCACGGTCTCCATCCCCCCGACGGCCACCAGCCCCAGCACGCTGCCCGAGGAGGAGGCTCTTCTCTAGACCTGCCAGGGCGAAAGCAGGAGCCGCTCATCTGCCCTGCACCCTCCTCCTCCTCCTCCTCCATCCCCCTGGCACAGGAGCACTGGGGGTGGCAGCACCTCGGAGTTGGCCTGTACCCAAGGGCTCACTGCCTTTCCCATCCCGGGAAAGGCAAGTTACATCATTCTGCTGAATTCAGGGTAACCAGGTGCTGTAGGACACATGAGGTCCCCGAGAACCAGCAGGGACAAGCAGCTCCGTGGCGACTGTGAACTGGCAGCGGCACCTGGAGGTTGAGCCCGTCCCAGCCAGGCTGGCTCAGCTGGTCCTGAGGGTATCCTTGCAATGAATAAAAAAGTCTGTCCTTCAGAGGCCATGGCCAAAGCGGTTGTTCCTCCTGCTCCTTGGGCGCAGCGCTGCCGAGAGGGGAGCGAGGGCTGCATCACCCCTGCAGAGGCAGCGCTCCCAGGGGCATCTCCAGGCTGGGTTTGGACCAGCCGTGGTGCCAAGCCACTGGCTGGGGGCTCTCTCTGCCGGAGAAAAGCCACCAGAAATCAGAGCAGCCCCTGGAGCTGGGCACAAGCGAAGGCTTCGGCCAGGGGCAGGAGCGCCATGGCCGGGAGGGCAGGGTTTGGGATGCACGGGGGGGTGTTACGAGGTCTGCGCTGCCCAGGGAAGGGCACCCAGCAAGTCAACAGCAAAACTGCTGCTGCGTTCGCTGGGCGCTGGATGCAGGTGAGCAAGGAGGCCAGCTGAATTATCGCCCTCTAACCCCAGGCTTTAAAACAACATTAAAAAAATCTTGCTTTGAGATGGGCTGTGGGGCACAGGCAGGCACACCCAGAGGCTTAAACGTCCCGGGGGTCCCACGGGCGGCAGAGCCCTTTGTGGCCGGGGGGCGCCGCG